GAATCCTTCTAACCAATCCAACAGGGCTGATGTAGGATAGACCTATCTAATACAAAATTGATGCAGGATGTTCCTGCAAAATAAGAAAAAAAAAAACTAGGAATCAGAACTTAGACTTCTCTAGGAGTCAGCACTTAGAGTTACTATTTGGAATCAGCACTTAATATATTGTTCATGGAATCAGCACAATGTAGTAATTAGAATCATTGCAACGTTAAAAGTAGAAAAGGCAATTTATTATTTGATGTCAAAAGAAAGAGCTTGCACACAGGCAAAGGTTGGACAGCCATTTAGCCTTGTTTTCCTACCTCAAAACCAACTATGAGAAACTACTGATAATTAATAAACAAACTAGAAATAGGATAAATGCTAGCTGGCTAAGGATTAGGACTTTGACTTAAAGACAAATTTTAGTTGACTTAAGACTTGGAATAACCAAATAAGACAAATCCTACTTTATAACTATGACATTGACCTACTAATACCACTAAGGAAAGTAATAAATCAAACTCCTAATGTGATTAGCAACACCAGTTCCTAACTTAGCTAGGAAAACCAAATCCTAATGTAATTGGGAAGATGACCAATTCCTAATGCAATTAAGAGCACTACTAATTGATTGAATAGTGAGATGACTTTTAAAATTATGAAGTAACCCAACTATTCATAAAAACATAAAAGTTCAGAATGCCAGCATCTACTTATCACCTTCCAAACAGAATATATTTGAAATGCTCTTTCACTTGTTTCCACCAATAGTCCTCACAAATTGATAGAGGTATGCTTTCTTGTTTTTGTTGTTGTTGTAGTACTACTTCTTTCCTGACTTTTCCCTTGGCTGACCACAAAGAATTCAGCCAGAGCCAATTTATGTCAGACTGAAGACAGCAATTTCAAAGGCATCTGGAAACCAAACAATGGATAAAAGGGTGTTAGCGTTTTCTTCTCTTTCACACAATAGAGTCTGTAAGGAAGGCATCAGGCTAGGTCTGGCATTCACATGATTCATTCCAAGGAACTTATCAAAAGAGATGTCTAAATAAACTCTGTTATTGTTAGGAGAATTGATTATTCCCAATGTTTTGAAAATGATTAGAAATTGAAATCTTTAACTAGGATATGAGTTAAGGATACAAAGTTTCAATAATACTTCACCACTCCATTTCCACTCTCTGCCAAATATTAGACAGCAAAGAGAAGCTTGTGAACTTGGGCAATGTTATCTAAATGGACTGTGGAATGCTTACTGAGGATTATATGGTACAGAAGAAATTTGACAGGCTTTGTTAGTCATATCTGGAGAACTTTACAATTTAACTTGAGATAAATAACTGACAAAATAAAATTTCAGATTCATAATCTTTGCCTGCAAAATTTTCTTTTGGATACATGAGGATTCCTGTTTAATTCAGCTTCTAAATGGAGAAACAAGGACACTTTGCTGCTTTTTGTTCATACGATATTATTGACAAAAAAGAAAAAAGTGACATACTTTTATTATTAGTTACTCTTTTGACATGATAATAGATAGGCTTCAATTTAATGGATCATCTTCTTTCTACTTCTTAAGTCATCTAGGATCCTAAAACTTATATCTGTATTCCATTGGGCTCAAATTCAAATTCAGTGAATTCCGGCTTTTTTTCTTTTTTGTTTCTTGATAATAGATTGTTGTGCAATTTATATCCAACTTGATTACAGAAAGAAGAATGTTTAATTGATGTGCTCTATTTACTTTTTGTTTTGTATAAATTGATTATTTTAATTACACTTGGAGCTTTTATACTTTTTTTTTGTTTCTTGATAATAGATAGGTTGTGTAATTTATATCCAACTTGATTACAGAAAGAAGAATGTTTAATTGATGTGTTCTGTTTACTTTTTATTTTGTATAAATTGATTATTTTAATTATATTTGGAGTTTATTTAAGACTGTTGAAATTCTGTTGCTGTTCATTGATGATGGTTATGCAGATGGGCAATGTTTGGTTTTGCTGTTGGGCTGCTAACGGAGTACGCAACTGGCTCAGACTTTGTTGATCAAGTAAAGATCCTTCTCTCCAATTTTGGGATAGTAGACCTGGAATAATTTTTTGTCTGCTATTGTTATAGTCATATCCAATGTTTCTTTTGTAACATTTGAGTGAATTACCATGCTGTCTTTAACAAATTCAATGTCATAAATTGTGTCTTCACTATTCATTTTAACTGTAAGAAAGTATAAGCTCCATATTTTACTTCACCAAGTCCTTTTGGATATCAGTTGGGTTTCTCTTTTATGGAATCTCAGCTACTATTTCAGTTTGGGGCCTGATGGAAATGAATTGTCAACCGTGACATCTGTTATCACAAATTTGCTGCTACACCAAGGTCTTTTTGCTACTGTACGTAACAAATATGTAGGGAGCAGCTGTGCTAATCAGGCCATTTAGTGAGCTTCACGAAATGACCAAGGAATCTTACACATGGCAAATTTCTCTGCAATTCAAATGGAGTATTCACATTTCTTCCCTGACCTGTTTTTATGGCTCTGTTTGTTTGCAGAGGAAATCTGCACCAGATACAAAATTTGCACCAGGACTGTGATTTCACTTATTTGTATTTTTTATCTCATTTGCATTCATTTTCCATGCCAGTTTTGCATTGCAGTACCTTCCTCCTACCTCAGTTCTCTCTAAGATAAAGTAGGGACCACATCGTCTTGCTTCTTTGCATCACTTCCAAAGAAATAACCCTCCTACCTCCATTCTTTTTCATACAAGGTTAGGATTATATCATATACTTGTTTTACTTCTCATAAACAAATAACAAGTCAAATCTAAAGTGAAAGTGAACCAGGATTTGCATTCAGCATGTTTGCACTCTCGTGCATTTACACCAGTATAATGAATTTCACACTGCAAAGAAATTGAAGCGAAAAGTTTTACGGGGTGTAAGACAGAAGCGAAAAAGAAAGAAAATTTAGGAAGGATTTAAGCGGATCTCTGATTCTCTGTAACACAATAATGGTTTTCTTTGCTGTTCCCGGTCTGAGCGATCCGATCATCTGGGACCCAACTTTGATAACACTTGGTAGAAAGAGTGATTGATTGTTAAAAGCCACCCAATCCAGATTTCATTCTTTTTTGATTCTTGGGCCTAAGACACACCATTTTATGGATATGTTCAAAGAGATTAAATTGGACTACGGCTAACTCTAAATCTTACCTTTCTCTTTACCACCATGCCACGCAGACAACCATATACACTAAGCCGTTGTAGTGCAGACAACAACTACAAGATCCCCCAGCTGGTGAAATTGAGATGGGGTTATGGTCTGCAATTATACCAGCACTAATGCACCGGATTCCATCAAAACTTTGAAGTTAAGTGTGTTTGGGCGAGAATAGTACTTAGGATGGATAACCTCCTGGGAAGTCCTCATGTTACATCCCAACTTCTAGATGGAAGGGTGATGAAAGGTAAATAATCTGAGTCTTGTTCTTTTACTGTGGCGTGGTTTGTTTTTCCTTCTTCAGCCTTGTTTATTTTCTGTTCTTAGCCTCCCTCTTCCTCTCACTGCTAACAGCCTTTTGTTTCCTGGGTAGTTTCTTAGTTTTCTTCATTCACTGTCTTTGAAGCTCATAAAACTCCCTCGTTTCCTTTTGGAAGTCTGGAGGCTCATATGCAATACTCTAAGTTTCTTTCGAAGCCCTCCACTAATTCAGACTTACATTACCAGGGTTCGGACCACAGGATACATTATGGGAATCAAAGGAATTAGGAAAAAGAAAAGACGCCTCAAGCAGAATAAATTGTTGAATACTCTTTGCAACTCGGCAGGAAAGGTCATTGGCCCGGAAAAACAAGTGTGAACACTCAAGCCAACAGATTCCAGCCTCGGGCTACTAGGCCAGATATAAAATATGAAAAGCTGGTATATTTCAATAGTTCCAAGAAACAAACACTTTCAGCAATTCCAAGGCCTCACAAGCAGGAACTAATGGCTAAGGCTGCCATAGCCATCCGATTGATTTTGGAGGCTTGAAACAAGAAGCTCCATGAGAATAAAAACTCAAATTCTCTAGCTGTTGCACAAGCAGTACAAAATTACTTAGTTTATGGTGAAATGGACCCACTTGAAAACCAGAGGGACAACAAATCATCAACTCCTGACTGTACTTTATCAACATGCTTGTACGTGGATGGTTCATATATGTTGAATATACAAAGAGCTGCCAAAAGTTGTCATAAGAGAGATGGTTCCAGGGTGACTGCAGCAGCAGGAAGTAGGTGCCAGGCCCAGGAACCAACAGAAGCCGAACGGCAAGCACTTATCCTAAGATTGCAACAAGCACAGTGCAGGGAAATCACCCAACTAAGTGTGTTTTTTTTTTTCTCCTTAAAAGATTCATTAAAGGAAATCAAGGGAACATTTGGGCCCCTTTTTTATAAGATTCCAAAAAACGATGAACTAGGTTCACCGAACTGGCAGTACTACTCACAAAAGAGTTTCTATGCCTAGCTCGTTTTGCTAATTCATGTGCTGGCGTTACTAAGTCCCTGTTTATATACAGAATTGTAATATTATCAAAAAGTAAGAGAAGTTCAGATAAATGATCATATAAGGCCGGTAGATCTCACGTAATGTGCTTGTTTGTTCCTTTTAACTTTATTAAAACCTCCCTGGCATCCGATAGCAAAAAACCTGCTTTAACACCCATACAAAAAAACTTGCGTAAGCCTCTAATCACTGCTCAGAGCTCAGTTGCTGCTGGTGATCTTGCCAAGTATGGTTGTCCTTCTGCAATGATAAGAGGAGACATGTGAGAAAACATATATATGCCAATGGATACAGTTTGTGTGGTGGCAAACCAAAAACCATCCACTAAAATGATTGGGAGGTTTGTGAGGAGAGCTTGTTGCAAATCCCAATCTGATTGCATATGTGATGAATTGGAGATTTTGAGCTCAGTTTCTTTATAGTTGTAGTAACTTTCAGCCTTTCTTAGAATTTGAAGAGGGTCTAAGTTCACTTTATTAAAAATTTGATCGTTTCTTGCATCCCACAAACTTTTGAAAGTAACACATATCTTTGCAATATAGTTATACTTTTGAATTTTGTTCTGCAAGTGAGAAATATGTTGCCACCACCATTGGATCAGATCTTTTTGTCCAGAGTTTAGAAAAATCTCCGGAACAAGACCCACATGGGTCTGCATCCAAATAACCCTTGAGAGAGGGCATTCCAAGAAGAGGTGCTCTTGGGTCTTTGGAGATTCCTTACAGAATGTGCACCAAGTGTCTTATCTTCTTCTATAGATCCATATTTCAGTTTTTGTTCGAATAGCTTTATGGATGAACTTTTACATGAAGATTTGACATCTATGAGAGCATGAGCTTTTCCAAATTCTGGACCAATTCACTATACTTGATCGTGTTTGAGGTGGGGTTTCTAAGAGTGAACGGTAAACTGAATTTACAGTGAATTCCCCATTGCTTGTGTTCTTCCAGAGGAGCCTATTAGGCTGTTGCTGAGTCCTTAAGGGAATACTTAGGATTGCTTCAACTAAGTGTGTTATGTGATGCCAAAAGAATAGTAAATATTTACCTCATATAACACAAATTGCACATGGAAAGAGAAGTTGTAGGACTGAGGTGCAGAACTTACTTATAAAGGGGTTTGAAATATGTAATATTTGCCATATAAGTATGGATGTAAATAAATTAGCCCATAAAATAGCTTATGAAGTATGTAAGAGGGGTATATGTAAATCTTTTTGAGAAATTAATATAATTTTTCTTATTTTTTGACCAAAAAAAAAAGAAATTCTTTCACTCAGTCGACCTAACTAAGAACCTAAAGGAGAACAAATTGGCAAAACAAAAAAAATAACAAGAGAAGTAAATCGTCGGCAATGGTGATAAACTGATAACATTCCATAGGAAACGCTCGACCTAGGATCTCACCAAATCTTTAGAAGGGTTGAGACTTAGCGACCATGGAAATTCGTATAAAGGACAATTATGAATTATCCCTGAAAACCCTAAACCAAAAAAGGGGTACAATGCAGACACGAGGATACATATATACGTAAAGCATGCATGGGGCCTCATGGATCATGCACGAAGAATGACAAGGGGATCAACAGATCCCATGAGCCATGAAAGTAAAACTGCGAAGCTCCATGTTAACAATGGAAATATGAATTTAAAAAGCAAGAAAAAATTATTATTGGAAAATGGAATGGATTAATCTTAGCCTCAGGAGTTGATGAACATTCAACCAGGAGGGAAGACGATATGATGTCAAGCCATTCACTCATCAGTTAGCCCTGTGTTAATGATGGAAAAAACCTAGAGTAACCAATCAGGCCCCTCATATACGTAGACCAAGGAAGTGGGGAAAAACGATAATGATACCAAATTTGAGAAAGGCCATGAAGAAAGCGATAATAGTCTTTAGAAGATCAAAGGGAAACAGAATAACCAATTGTGTTACTGAACGCCCAGTCTGTAACAGTACCCCTCTAAATATTACAATGACAAAATTTCAAAATGAAAACCAAGAATCAAAGCTCAACAAAATTGACAAGATGGATCAGACGGCTCAGTTAATGGATTGCTACAATCTTTCCCAGTAGTGTAATACCTAAAATCCCTAGAAGATACAGAGTTGCTACAAGGCAAGTCCAGCTAGTAGTCAATACCCCCTCATAGAAACCGAACAATCTAGAGGGAAAGTAATGAGATCAATGGTTCTAAATGATGACAGCTCCAAAAGCATAGCCATAACTGGACCTATAAACTATTCGAACTTGGGGCTTGTTCGTTTCTTGCTCTTAACTCTTATCTTTTAAGATGAATCTTTTAACTTTAAGAGAAAAATGGTTGTTCATTTCCTCGTATCTATTATCTCTTAAAATGCAATCATATAACTTTTTGTTTTCCAATGATACCTCCAAAAAGACAAACAAAAACTCTCATATATGGGATCAAAATGGATATTTGATAATTTTCAAAATTCAGAATTCAGAACAATATTCTTTGCATTCAGAGTTTAGAAGAAAGAAAAGTTAACCAATATACCTCTTAATGTAATTATTGCACTTTCATATGTCAAACTATAGAGCAAACGAACAAGCCCTTATTCTTAAAGGGTAACTTGAAGGAAGCTTAGGAAAGGAAAAGTCACCAAACGGGGAACATGCATGTTAAGGGAAATAAATGGGACATTACCACCATGAGGAGACTAGACTAGCCTCTATGCAGGGCATGGTGACTCTAACTAATGCATACCATGATAACAAGCCAAGTCAGAATATCTTCTCAAGAATCCAAGAGAAACCAGAGAATTATCAACTATGAACAAACGAATGTCCTT